TTTCCATAAGCCATAACTCTGCCCGCGGTCAGACTATACGGAGCACGCAGAATGGAAACCAACTTCATGGGAATATCACTCCTCAACAGACAGTGCCATAATGCAGCCCTGTCGACAGAATCGATGGCAGCTCGGATATACAGGAATCCAACAATCGTTGGCTTTTGATACACATGGCGGAACTCGAGATTCTGGCGTTGTGTGAAAATCTGATCGATGCATCCGCGACCAGTGCGGAACCCAGCTTGATCTTCTCGCTGTGGTGATTCACGTGTTGGGGATGGCCTGCGAAGTATGATGAACACAAGAATCTTACAAACGACGGAAACCTAACTTATGCCCCTATGATTGGAACAATTTGTACGCAGGCTCTTTTTGAAGATGGGGACGAGTACCGACTCACTCCAGGATGATGGAACTTCGTCTTTTGCCCAGACTTCTGAAAACGAAGCGGTGAGTTCTCGAACCAGCAAATAGCCCCCATTTTTAAATAGAGCAGGAAGTAGGCCATCAGGGCCGGGTGCCTTCTAACGCTTTAGGCAGCAGTGATCCCGCCAGATTTCCTGGTGAGAGGGAGGATCAATTGGGATCGTCCACTCATCACCAGTGCGCGCCCCGGGGGAAACAGATGTGGCTTGCGGCCAGGAAAACTGCGAGCGAAAATCTTCGGCCCATCGCTCTAACCGTCGTTGAAGATTACTGATTAGGGAGCCATCATCTTCGCAGATTGTTTCGCTTACTCCTGCTCGGATGAGGTGGAACAGTTTTTTGGTATTACCAGAGAGATTAGCAAGTTCCAGCTCTCTAGCATGTTCACACCACCAGATCTCACGGTCCTTCTGTAAGCTCCTACGGAACGCTCGATCCAGGGATCAGCGTTCCTCACTACAGCTGGTGTCGGCTGGGATCAAGCAGCGTCTGTCCATCAGCTACAAGGAGGCAGTGATGACCCATATTTTCTGCGAGTTACAAGCAAATCCACAACTGACAGTACTTTCTGAAATTAAAGCGTCTTTGATGCGCATCCATTGCGAATTGAGACCATCGTCAGAGGGTACTTGGATAACGTCGCAGGATGGTGCAGAGTTTCGACATTCGGTTGCTAGTGCGTAAGTCTGGATGATCCTCCAAAATCCATGCAATTTTTGGCGCAAACCAGTGTGTGATCGTTTTCCAGAAAGGTTGACCAGTACGATCGGCAGTCTGTTACGTTTCCGCGCCATCTGTAGCTTATTGCTATGTGGTCAAACTGGGGTCATTTTTGTGTTTTAAAAGGCAGAGGTCAGGTAGCAGTCTGTCTGTAGTCGTAAGAAACAAGGGATGATCAAGACGAAGGGTCAATAGTCTGTCTCCGTTGTCTTATCGGCCAAAACTACCCCCAAGATGGTGCTAGCTTGGTGACAGGTAGCTCACTCGTGCGTTAAAACCTCCGGCAAGAATGACAATGTCAGACTTCTTAGACGAATGCAGAAGCTCGTGTATCTGTTGGTAAAAGCAATCCTTGACTGCATCCAGGCTGAAGTCTCTGGGTGCGTAGGCAGAGATGGCAGACAAGGCACGCGTAACATCTTGACGCTTACTTAACTTACTTGATCTTTAACAATAGTCAGCGCAGGAGGCGGTCTCTGCCAATCTTGGAGGAAATCTTTCCACTTCGAGGGTGCAAAGCCAAGCCCGAGTTGTCTGACAGCCAGGGCTAATCTGTCCGGTGTCAGTTGGCACGACTGGGAGCTGTGCACGAACATTGCTGGTACCTTGCGAGAGAATCGTCATTACAGCTTAACCTAACGTGAATTTCAACAGCGAATCGCTATTTGTCCCTTGATTCAAAGACGGTGCTTGATCACCTCTAAACAGTGTTGATCTGCCGGTTCGCCTGCTCCTGTCGAGCCAGTTACATTGTACGTACGATCAGGTCCATAGAAAACCGTATCAAGGAACATCTACCGAATTCACTCATCAACAAATGGTATAGAAGCCATTTAAATGCAATAACCGACCGTCTAATCATTATTGGGCACCGAGTTGACGAACCCAAGGCGCTCGAAATCCTGTATGGAGTACCATCGCAACCGAACCGCCAGTTTGGGGGCTCGGCTGCTTGCTATCATTGAAGCAGTAAGCATCAGGTCAACAGGCGCGAACCTCTGCATCCAATGAAGTTCGCATAAGCATAACAACCGTGGTCAATACTCAAACCAAAAGAATCTGATTTCGCCTAAGGTGAACACATTCCACCATTCACCTGATTATCTAACGCGCGCCATGGGAAATATTCAATTTTTCTCAATCGATGGCTTTGTTCTGTACGCTCCCATAGAATTAACTTTTTTAATGCAGAGAACTAAGTCCGAAACAACACAGTTTCTGCAACGCATAAACTCGTCGACTCTCTACCATTAGTGGCATCCATTCTCTTCCCTTTTCTCTACTACTCAGATCGTTCTCTTAGCCCCTCGTTGTGTGTCATTATGGGACCACTACAAGGTGGCGTCTATATAGTCTGTAAGAATTCTAGTTTCATGTGTAGGCTGGATCATATCCCTAGAGGACTGGATCAAGGTGTAGACAACTTGGCGATGAATGTTTGCGTAGAGCATTTATGTTTTACACTAGGTCTCTCTTACTCTCCTAGATTACTCCACATTTTTCAGGTTATTCTGGTTGTATGACAGCGAGACATCATTTCAACTGGTTGACATCCTATTGATGATGATTGTAAAGTCCAAAGGACTTTGATTTCCTGTGCCAGGTGGATTGTTCCTTCATGCTGGCTCAGTGATCCTTTTCCCCACCTTTTGGCACCTTCGTGCTTTAGACCATTACATACTCAGACGAGTATCGTTTTACATTTATTACAACTGCATGCACTTTTCTCAAGGGAACGCTTCCACCTGCTTGCTTTTAACATCACTGTTACTGTGAAATGTTTCCACTGTCGTTGCAAACCTTGCCGTGAGTCCTATCTCGTGTATTATTATGTCCTTTAGAACCATAGTTACAAGATTATATTATCAGTTATTCTGTTCTGTCCATTTTCTGCCCAAACCGTGCATTAACTCTGGGTTTACAGGTCGAGATAGCAATATGTATATCCAATTCGCACGAAGCGCTTCTATTTAACGTAGTTCCGTCGTTACAATGATGACGATGACGAATAACGACTCGGCATTACTATTAATAAATAATAATAATCTGTCAGCTGTACGCCGTAACTGCGCTTCGCTGTCGTACGACCACCACCGTTCACATGCTGGCTGAATATACCAGGAGGAAGCTCATCCCTACACGATTACGAGACAAGCACATTACCTCCAGGATTTAGGCCGACTGGCATTACTATTCCGAGCCAATAACTTCCTTTGTGTGTTTTGGGCAGGTACATCCTCAATTTTTAAGCGCTATTAATTTGGCGCATTATCACATACTTTACATTTCCATTTTACCACATGTTGCCTCCACTATTCTATCGCCAAACTTATTGTTAGTCTTTGCTGTCTCCACTCGCTTCGCCACGTCGCACACCTAGAATCACGGTTACAGGATTCTATTTTAATTATTCTACAGGCTGTCCCCTTCGTTTGCTGTCACTGTTCGTCATGATTACCCTATTTCATCATTCCTCTTTTGCCATCAAAGATGTCCAATGAGCATTGGAAGGTGTCCGAAACTCTGTGGTGTTGAGCTTCACCCTGTTGACGAAGTCGTGGACTTAGGTTGCGTTGATGGTATCGCTTTGCTAGGAGATGATCAGCGGCCCATCCTGAGCGCTTTGAACGACTTAGCGATGGAGGCACCTAACTGTAGACTGTATTTCACCCCAGGCTAAGGTAAATCACTACTCTAGGATTGACTGGCGGCTGATCTCACCACTGCTGGTGACGTTCTGGAACAAATCCCTTGATGCACTCATCTACAGCGTTGCATCACTGCCGCCGGCGGTGTCAGAGACGATGTCTCACAACGGATCGTCAAGGGCTACGTTGCATTCGTCAATATGAGACACATACAACGTCGTCGCGACATCGATCTCTAGCATTAGGGCAGTGCGTGCGGTCCCTTGTGCGATCCTTCTGTGCGGCTTTGAGACCTGGCCTATTCGCTCAGAGGATATGAAACGATTGTCAGTTTTTGACAAGGGATTGTTAGTGTGTGGTGGCAATATCACACAAGCACTGCGGGATTGCTTGACTACGTACGTAGAGTGAACAGTCCATGTCTCAAAAATTTTGTTCTCCGACACTGCCTGCGTTGGTTCGGCCACGTATTGCGCATGTCAGCCCCTCGCCTTCCCCGTCGAGCATACTTTGCACTTCCCAAGAGCCACTGGAAATATTTCCGCGGTGAACAACCAATGCCGGGGAGAAACATAAAGAAAGTAACAGCTTTAGCACCCATCTGACTTGTCCGCCTTTCCGGATGGGGAACGCACGACTTACTCCCAGTGGTTGGAGACGTAATTTGTGGTCCGCACCAGACATCAGTGATGCCAGTGTTGTTCCGCTGTATCCTCTATTAATTAAGCTCTAATCTAACACAAGCGATCTCCAAAACCCGAAAAAACTCAAAATCGCTATTGCTGTTATACTTCATTTTTGATCTGCCATAGCTGTGATAACACCATCTCTGTAACTAGACTGTGAATCCACATACCCCGACTGCGCGGATTGTCCTGGTCTTATGGGCATCAGTAGACGTTAAATACCTTTCATGCGACGTGCTTATTTCTTCCCCTCAGATGTGCTGCTTATTACTGTTCTCACGAGGTTGATGGCAGTAATTCGGCTAACGTATTTTGCACGCTTCGGGAACCGCGGAACCACATCATCCTGCTCTATTCAGTTACACTGGCACAGTGACTCGCCGCCTCTTGATGACATTTTCCATGATTTCACTGCCATAGGTTGTCTTCATTTTTCGGGTTATGCACTCGCTCACTACTTTTCTCATCGTTCCTTCGATTCATCTTCATCTGATCTCACTCTTTTCTATACAATCAGGTTCATAACTTTTTGGAGTTCTTACAGCAGCCCCTTCGTTTACCTGGTGCCGATGACGATGCTGGGGGGCTTTCGCAGTCTACTTATGATCAGCTGACTTTCATTTGGGCCAGCCATCGCTCAGGATATTGTCATCTCTACCTTATGCAGCGGGTGTGGCCAAAATGCGGTCTTGTTGGCCAGGTTGGCTCCGATTCCTCAACGACATTTCTTTTGGATGCCGAGGAAGTCCTCACTGCTCAACTGACAAATGGTCCGTGGGAGGTCACTGGTAAACGGGTACGCATACTCTTGACATTCGCTTTCTCACACACCTATCTCCCACCCTCACTGGTACACGTTGGCTAATTTGCTGTGTTTTGCCCAGGACTAACCATCGGAATTTGATTGGTCCTCAGCTTCTAGCCATCGCGTGTTACCCATGGCTGATATAAAATTTGCCTCACAGTTTCGCCTTCGATGTTGAACTCACCCATTCCTCTCGAGCTGTCCACCTGTGACCAGGCGATAATTATGATGGTTATACTGTGCGAGCGCTCCTGAGTTGTCGCTTGCTTGACCAACCGTCATGATGTTACGACCCCCCCCCCCAAAGAAAACTCACCTGTGATTAACCTTGCTTGCATATGCATCATTTGTACATCATATGTTAACAACCCTAGGTCTACTAAGGCTACGTATACCTAATATCAATCAGATTCCAATGACATCATGCAGTCACGTTCGCTGTATTGGCCTGTTTCACACTACTTTGTGAGTCAACTTATTGAAATTAGCTTCCGGTGGCTCCCAAGAGCGGACTTTCATTTATCCCCTATGTGAAATACCGCATGTGGGAATCGCTGAACAAAATTCCGCTCACAAAACAGATAGACTAAAAGTGTCACCCACCCATAATCCTGTTGCTAATGCTCGTTTTCCTTTCATTATTTTGCCTACTGACTGCCTATTACATCTCTTCAGACAAACCAGATAGGTATCGCCTCAGTCATTCATGACAATCAGCTCCGGCCATTGTTCTGACTCGTGGTACCGATTCAAACTCGAGCTTCTCCCCTTGTGACAGCCCGATCAGTGGATTGTAGTGGCTTTTCGGTCATTCTCTTGGATTAAGCGTGTTCTGTGTTTCCGAAACGTGCTCACAAATAAAGTCGTGTTACACCGAACCTGCTAACCTTATGCTCCAGTTCTTGTATATTGATTCTCTCAGGGAACCATGCCATCTTCCATCCTAGACCCACTGTGGTAGTGACCGGTAAGACCGAGCGAACAGAACCAACGCGGCTCCTTTGGACAGACAATCAAGTAAGCACCGCCAACGCGAATTAACCTCATTGTCCCGCCGGATAACACTGAGTTGGCTCTGCCCAATCTGAATGCGGCGCAGCGTCGTTGCAAGCTAGGGGTAGTGGATTAGTCCGAACGTCGACGGTCGAACAGCAGTGCACCCTAACCAATCTGGGCTGAAGGCACGCGTAGAGATGGTGCTCTACGAGTTGGCTACACGGAACGGACATAGAGTCTGGGCGGAAAGTCAATAAAGTGCCACTCACGTGTGTTGACAGGAAGTAGATGGGGCTTGGGTTGGACAGAGCATGTGGCCCCAGTGGAGATAGATGTGGGTCTTTATCGAGCAGAAGCGAACGAACAGTGTATTCGCCAATGAACTCAAACTGACGGCAGAAGACCAACGAGAAGTAACGATAAAAGGATAGCTTTCAATTCGGGTTTATGGTGCATATAGTATCACTGGCAAGTGTGCCGGCCGGTCTCCGAGTGAACTGCACTCCTGGTTTGCAATCATAAGGTCGCCGATTTGAATCCGCATAGGTTTGGGTGTCCTCGCGATATACTCAGCCCACGCGCGACTGCGAACCGCCGTTACAGCGTACAGCTAACAATTTATTTATTATTTTACATAGTTTTGATCACTATCCGTTTTTGGAAGGATACATGATGCCTGTTTGTGGGATTTCGTACTGTCCCTGAAACTTTGCACCCCATGATCCTTAAGCGGTTTTCAATCGGTCTCTTGATTTTACCCTAGGCTGATGTCAGGTAAATATGCCGTGACAAATATCACCCGTTGTTTCTTTGCTGTGACCACTAGATTTGGCTGGATGAATCTCATCACTTGGTCTATTTCGAGGCGAATAGAGAACATCCCCTACTGCATCACATGTGAGTGTCCGCTTGATTATGCTTCTGTAATGCGCGTCCAGTTTCACTCGGTGTTCACCAGACAGTGCTCTCCCTCTAACTTTATCCCAACATCGTCTCCTTAACGCAGTTATCTTTCACCCCTTGTTCTCGCATAAGCTCTTGTTACAAACATATGTTGGCAACTCAGTCTGTCATTGTCCGAGTACGTAGGGCATCTGGTCTGCAATCCACGCGTCACTGGCTCCACCCTGCGTAGATGCAGATGACTCCGCAGTACTCCTAGGCCCGCGTCTGGTAGTGATCTTGGTGCACCGAAGTGTAGGAGAGCCGCGCGGATGTAGTTCTAATACCTCTTCCGTTTTAACTCAAATCGTAGGTTCTGTGTAAGCCACATATCTTGCGGAACTTTCCAATTTCCCCAGCCACTGCCAATTTGTGTGCCATCGTTTTTTGCCCACGGCGTTTCCCTACCTCACATTTCTATGCTTTTGCAACTTTATTTGAGCAAATATTTCCAGTGCTTTCCTCTTGGTTTAGATACGCGGTGAGTTACGAGGCGACCACTCGGGGAAAACTCACAAGATTGACACCATTCGACCCGCCGGACTCGCCATCTCATCCCGACAAACATTGCGATATGCTGGCCTCATCCGCCGTTGGCGACACTACATCCCTATTGGACCCGGTTTTCCTTGCGCATCATGATCACAGGGAGTACCCTCTATCGTACAGCCTCTCTGCTTTTGATCCTAAGTCTGGATGGGCTGTTTTATCCTCGAGCAATTTGGGCCTCACAACTGGAGTCCAGGTTGTACTAATCACGTGCCCTCCGCCGGGATCCACTCACTCCAGCTCGGCCTTGACCGCCCTAACCCATGTTACCTGGCTTCGGCGTCATAGTAAGGTTCTCCATCATTCCGTGTTATTTCCTCATGTTCGCATCTAGGTTTTTTTACTGCTCCTATGAAGTTCTTCCATCCGTAGTACCAGTTGCGCCCCACCATTCTTGTCGAATCGTGGCCGAAAGAAACAAGGCTTCTACTTTGCAACCCGGAGGTCACGGGTTCGGAATTTCCTAGGGCCCCGTGCGAACCTCGCAGTATCCTTAGCCCACACGCAACTGGTGGTGGTTACGTGGCAGCGAAGCGTCGGTACGGCGTACCGGCGTACTGCTAATGCTTCTTTCCCACCTTTCAAAACGGTCAATCAGAAGCGTTCGTTGTGTCTTTCGGATTGTCTTTATTCCGAAATGTGTAACCTGTTGTTTCGCAATCCCACCGCTGTATTACCATACCAGGTAGTCTTTTACTGGCGAGGCCTTGAACAAAGCCATTCTTGCGTAACTCAGGAGAAGTCAAGTTGTTGAACACTCCTTGACCATGTGTATAGGCGAACATCTGCTCATTTCAGCCTAGCAGCTCCTTGGACTCTACTGGCCCAGCATCATTTGTCGCCTGGGTACTCACTTCCAATCACCGCATTTCGAGGTGCATTGCTTGGCCATTGTTGCACCCCTGGTGTTGCATTATTGCTTTGTTGTCGCATGACTTTCCAACCCACCACGGAGATTGTTCCTGACACGCAGTCCATTAGAAGAAGATCATCAACACCGCAACAAATGAATTTAGACAGTTGCCAAGCACACTCCTTTTAGTCCTATCCGTTTAGTGAATTGGCCTACTCTTTCGGTTCATGAGAGTACGTAGCCACCGTGAAATTTCTTTGAATCTGCATACTCGAACTGCGTCATCTTTATTTTTCAATTCATCATATCGCCTACTCCATATATATATATATATATATATATATATATATATATATATATATATATCCACTTTGGAAGCCCGGCTCTGAACACCCGAGGCCTCATGGACAATTTCGTGCGCCGCCCCAACGGATAAGCTCAAAGTCCTTGCAATGTCATCCACTGTCACCCTTCTGTCCGACTGAATGAGGTCATTGACTGATTCGATCACCTCAGGAGTATATATACATATATATATTATACACAATCAGTGGTACAGATATTGTGCCATCGGAATCATGGCTGAATAGGAAAACAATATGGATAATAAGAAAAGAGCAACAACAAATGCTTATTTTTGTCAAGTTTACCACTCACAGATTTTGAATTTTTTTCAGTTTGTTCTTTTTTAGGGGGAGGAAGAAGGGATACCGCAACATACTGATGCACACGTCCGCCATTGACATCGATCTTGAGCCATAACTCCCAAGGTCTTCAACCAGCAAGTATCCTCATTTCTCGGACCCCAACCAGGTAGTCGACAACAACCGGCCGAGGCCAACTGTTTCGTCAGCTTTTCATGCAGCTTCTCCATGTTGTAGGCTGTCCACCAGACCGTCTCTTCTAGCCCTGTCCAGCAAGTGCAAACAATGCACGACGCGGGTAACACTGGACAGGCATGCGCAATACGTGTCCCAACCACCGCAGTTGATGCAGTGAGATGAGCTCCTCGAGTGAGTGACTTCCACCTCCCAAGACACGCTGTCTAACTTCCACATTGTTTACGTGATGTTGCCACCACACACGGGCAATGGACCGCAGACAGCGGTGCTCGAAGACGGATAGCCTGCACAAGTCATCTTTACGAATGGGCCAGGTCTCGCATCCGTACCACAGTACAGCACGAACAGTTGCACAATAGATCCGCCCTTTGATGGAAAGACGAATGTCGTGGCGACGCCACAAATGCCTCAGGCTAGAAAAAGTGAGGCGTGCTCTCGAGATGCGCATCGAAATGTCGTCTTCAACAGCCCCGCCAGCAGTGATGCAACTTCCCAAGTAGACAAAGCTCTCCACATCCTCCCATGTCTCACCAGCAAGCGTGAGTGCAGGCAGAGGCACCTGCCAGTCTTGAAGGAGAGCCTTGCATTTGGATGGCGAAAACTACATACCGTACTTTGATGCTTCAATCGTCAAGCGGTTTAATGCAAGTTGGACGACCTGTGGATCGTCACCCAGAAAGACGATATCATCAGCATAATCCAAATCAACAACTCGACTACCTGGGAGGAGCTCAACGCCAGCGTTCAACTAATCGCTCAGAGCGTTCTTCAGGCCATCCTCAATGGCAAAGTTGAATAGGAACGGAGAGATAGGGCATCCTTGTCGAACTCCACTGGAGACCACAAAGGTAGGCGAAAGCATGCCATAAGCCCTAACCCTGCCCGAGGTCAGACTGTATAGAGCGCGCAGTATGGAGATGAACTTCTCGGGGACACCGTTTCTCAGAAGGCACTGCAACAGTACTGTACGATCGACAGAATCGAAGGCTGCACGGATATCCAGGAACACAGCAATCGTTGGCCTCTGATACACATGGCTGAGCTCGAGGATCTGGCGAAGTGTGAAGAATTGATCGATGCAGCCGCGACCAGGGCGAAACCCAGCTTGTTCTTCTCGTTGCAACGATTCGCGTGTTGGGGATAGCCTGCGAAGTATGATGGACACCAGCAGCTTGCAAACGACGGGGACTAAACTTATTCCTCTGTATTTGGAGCAGATTGTGCGCAGGCCCTTTTTGAAGATGGGGACGACTATCGATTCACCCCAAGATGATGGAACTTTCTCTTTCGACCAAACTTTCGAGAACAAAGCGGTGAGTTCTCGGACCAGCGATGCGCCACTATCTTTAAATAGAGCTAGGTGAAGACCATCAGGGCCGGGAGCTTTATAACGCTTCATGTGCCGTAGCTCTTGCTCGATTTCCTGGGAAGATGGAGGGTCTGTTGGGGTAGACCACTCGGCCCCAACGCGAGCGCCAGAGGTAGCAGATGGAGCTGGGGGCCAACAAAACTGCGAGCCAAAATGTTCAGCCCATCGCTCCAACCGTCGTTGAAGATTGGTGATTAAGGTGCCATCCTCTTCGCATATTGTTTCACTTATACCAGATCGAACACCTTCGGTGACTCGAAGGAGATGGAAGAGTTTCCTGGTATTACCACAGAGACTAGCAAGCTCCATCTCCCTAGCACGTTCACACCACCATGCTTCGCGGTCCATTTGCAGACTCCTGCGCAACTCTCGACCAAGGTATTGGCGTTCTTCAACGCGTCTGGAATCCGATGGGATCAAGCGGCGTCTGTCCATCAGCGACAAGGAGTCGGCGGAAATCCAGTGCTTCGGCGGGTGACGGGTAACTCCACAAGTGTCGATACTGGCGGAAACTAACGCATCTTTGATATGCGCCCACTGCGAATCGAGATCACCGTCAATAGTTGAGCCAAGCAAAGTTGACAGTGAGGCTTGGTACCTCAGGAGACCTCACTTCTGTAGGCCTCCAAGGCCTGTCTTCATCCTCAACACTGCTCCGTCCTTCTTTGAACAATATTGCCCACTTGTGGGCATTTTTTCGGCCGAAACATGTGACACCATGCACAGTTGACATTCTCCTATGAATTTTAACTGGTTTGCACTCTTCAGCAACCAAAAGCTTGATAACTGACCGCTGTTCAATCCTGGAACGTGCTTTTTGGTCGGCCATCTTTGTTAATTGCTACAACTCTCAGCGTTTTTTCAATCTGCAAAAGAAATTACATCCATGTGAAAAAGAAACAAAACAACAAAAATAAACAAAAAATAAGCCTCTATCTGTATTAGAAGTCCTTATACCGAAAAATTCACCTTATTTCTTGAATGACCCTCGTATATTCGGTTGGCAGCATTCTGTATGTGTCTAATATTGCGGCCTCCATAGGCAGCCACCGGACACCTGCGCCTAAGGTGGGTAGTCTGCACTGCGCGACCCACAGCTCCATTCACACTCCCCATATCCAATGTGAACCCGAAAGAATAAGGCACGTGAAGCATGTGGATAGGAGCTACATTTCATCAGCGGAGCCGGCTCACATTTCTTTGCCATACACAGCAGCAGCATTCCTATGTATTTGTGAAATCATGCGTATCAGACGTATTCAAGGCGGTTGTTGAGTCGTAACGCGTTCCACACCATTTGAACCTTGCACCGTCAAGAGGACAGTGCACGCAACCCATCCCCAACAACGATTAACAATCTCCTGGATCCTGTATGGACTGGGTGGACGGTACTAGACAGATAGTCAGCATGTCAACATTTACATCAAGCGCAGCTAATCATTGCATATCACAAGGGGAGGTTTCATGTGTCAATAGCACGTCTAACCTACAGACAATCGGGTATTGTCGGATATCATATGCTTCATCAACTTCGATCTTGGCAACTGCACGATGACAGTGCGGATCCAGCATAACCACATTCACCCGCATGCGTTTGTTCACACTTTTGTTTGAACTGCCACAAACTTAGTGGGGAAACGATAACTCTCATGGACAATAATACTACTGACATGCATGGATTTGGATTGGAGGTACTACTGACATCTGTATTCGTCAAGTTATGGGCAATCGCACGTACGAGCAAAAGTAGCCAATAAGAACTATCCATAGTTACTTAAGGTTTAGATGTGAAGCTAAATAACAGCTCAAAATTTAGTCAGAATCATGGGCACCAACAAAAGATAGAGACATATGAGAATAGGGGAAGCAAACATCATCAATAGGTTTACCCGGTAGAATGATACAAAGGTAAGAGGTTACAGTAAACCAGTGATGGCTTATCGTTAGTGTGTGTTGTAGATGCCTTCTTCTATATCTGAAGTCCGACTTGCAACTGACAGAGGTCGGATAACGTTAGAATGTGACGGGATGTTTATTGTAGTCTTTCCGTTTCGCCGCTTAAGACTGGATCGACCCGAGTGTCTCCTCTCCGAGGTATGTGCGGATTCCTGAAGGACATCTCTTACTCTACTTTAAGCATTGGCAAGCGGTAATATCACACATTAAATGAATGAAGGCCAGAAAACAGTTCAGGGTTAAGATATCTTTTCGGTAGAATCTCGT